TTTGCATACACAGGTGTCAAGCGCCCCAGGAGGCAATGGAGGCTGCGGGCTCCTTAGACCATTGCCGGCCCAGGAGGCGAGGCCCCCCGCGTCTAGCCACGCCCGCCGGCTCCCGGGACCTTGCAGGCAAGAGCAGAGCGGGAGAGCGGGAGGTTTGGAGGACTTGGCAGAGCAGGAGGCTGCTCAATGTAGAGCAGAGCGAGAGAGAGGGCGGCTTGGAGGGTGTGGCTCCCTCTGTCACCCCAGCTTCCTCATCATAGCTGTGGAAACTGACAGCAGGGAGGAGCAAGTCCCACCCCCCCCCAGAATCAGCCAGAATCAGCCGTTGGTCAGACAGCTCTCAGCGGCCTGACAGCCAGGACTCTCATTCACCTGTGTCTCAGACCGTGACAGTAGAGAGGTGGGACTATGTCTAAAGAACAACTGTTGATACAACGTAGCTCTGCAGCCGAAAGATGCCGGCGTTATCGACAGAAAATGTCTGCAGAGCAGCGGTGCATCTGATCTTGAAAGAAGGCGGCGCCTGCGACAGAATGTATCTGAACACCAGCTACTGGAAAAATGTTGCTCTGATGCCGAAAAACACCAGCGTCATCAACAGAAAATGTCTAAAGACCAACGTGCCTTTGAAGTTGAAAGAAGGCGGTGGCAATGACAGAATATGTCTAGAGAACAGTCATCAACAAGTACTACCAATTCTGGTAGGAACTGCCTTCTCAGCAAAAATGGAGTACATGAGGATGCAATTCTCGAACATAGTTGTGGTGGAATGACTGTTGGATGTGAATTTTGCCTATCACTAGATTTCTCTGATGAAAAACCATCCGATGGGAAATTTACTCGATGTTGTAGCAAAGGGAAAGTCTGTCCAAATGATAGACATTTTCCAGATAACTTGGCATATTTATTTTTTTAATTTTTTAAATATATTTCATTGATTTTTTACAGAGAGGAAGGGAGAGGAATAGAGAGTTAGAAACATCGATGAGATCGAAACATCGATCAGCTGCCTCTTGCACACCCCCTCCTGGGGATGTGCCCGCAACCAAGGTACATGCCCTTGACCGGAATCGAACCTGGGACCCTTCAGTCTGCAGGCTGACGCTCTATCCACTGAGCCAAACCGGTTAGGGCAACTTGGCATATTTAAAAAGATTAATGACAAACGAAGATTCTGACAGTAAAAATTTCATGGAAAATATTCGTTCCATAAATAGTTCTTTTGCTTTTGCTTCTCTGGGTGCAAATATTGCATCGCCATCAGGATATGGGCCATACTGCTTTAGAATACACAGACAAGTTTATCACTGCACTGGAACTTTACATCCTTTGGATGGTGTTTCTCAGAAGTTTGCTCAACTCTATATTTTGGATACAGCCGAAGCTACAAGTAAAAGATTAGCAATGCCAGAAAACCAGGGCTGCTCAGAAAGACTCGTGATCAACATCAACAACCTCATGCATGAAATAAATGAATTAACAAAATCGTACAAGATGCTACATGAGGTAGAAAAGGAAGCCCAATCTGAAGCAGCAGCAAAAGGTATTGCTCCCACAGAAGTAACAATGGCAATTAAATATGATCGTAACAGTGACCCAGGTAGATATCATTCTTCCGTGTAACCGAGGTTGCTGTCATATTCAGAAACAAAGATGGAGAACCTCCTTTTGAAAGGGACTTGCTCATTCATTGTAAACCAGATCCCAATAATCCAAATGCCACTAAAATGAAACAAATCAATATCCTGTTTCCTACATTAGATGCAATGACATATCCTGTTCTTTTTCCACATGGTGAACAAGGCTGGGGAACAGATATTGCATTAAGACTCAGACAACAGTGTAATCTACAATAATACTAGACAAAATGTAAGGACACGAGTCACACAAATGTAGTATTATGGATTTCATCTCTCTGTGCGGGACACGTTCAATCCTATTTTAAATGCAGGAAAATTAACTCAATAGTTTATCGTGGATTCATATTAAAAAATGGAGGCCAATCAGATAAATTTCATCAAAGCAAACCAATCTAAGTTGAGAGTTGAAAAATATAGTGGTTTGATGGATTATCTCAACTATAGATCTGAAAATGACAATGTGCCGATTGGTAAAATGATAATACTTCCATCTTTTTTTTTTTAAATATATTTTATCGATTTTTTTTAGAGAGAGGAAGGGAGAGGGATAGAGAGTCAGAAACATCGATGAGAGAGAAACATCGATCATCTGCCTCCTGCACACCTCCTACTGGGGATGTGCCCGCAACCAAGGTACATGCCCTTGATCAGAATGGAACCTGGGACCCTTCAGTCCGTAGGCTGATGCTCTATCCACTGAGCCAAACCGGTTAGGGCCTTCCATCATCTTTTGAGGGTAGTCCCAGAAATATGCAGCAGCGATATCAGGATGCTATGGCAATTGTAACGAAGTATGGCAAGCCCGATTTATTCATAACCATGACATGCAACCCCAAGTGGGCAGATATTGCAAACAATTTACAACACTGGCAAAAAGTTGAAAACAGACCTGACTTGGTAGCCAGAGTTTTTAATATTAAGCTGAATGCTCTTTTAAATGATATCTGTAAATTCCATTTATTTGGCAAAGTAATAGCTAAAATTCATGTCATTGAATTTCAGAAACGCAGACTGCCTCACGCTCACATATTATTGATATTAGATAGTGAGTCCAAATTACGTTCCTCTAATTCCCTTTCAATGTGCACGAATTTTGTGCACCGGACTACTAGTTTCAAATATGTTAGATAACGTGAAATCCAAATGTCAGTCTTAGAGAATGTTCGTTCATTTGACATGTATTTAACCGAGCTTCACGCAGTGTCCAGTAGAACCTCTGTTTCTAACCATACATGGCCATTAGACACTTGAACTGTGTCTAGTGCGACTGAGAAACTAGATTTAAGTTAATTTAGATGTGTAATTAAATAATTACCTGGTAACTTAGTGCCATGGTATTGGACAGTGCAGGTCAAGACGCTGGGTGAGCTTAGATTCGTTTACAGTGGATCTCAGTTTTCTTTTGACATTACTGCTTAGTGGCATGGGTGTTGATGGCGTCAACCACTGAAAGACTTACCAGGACTTGATGAAAAACAGTTGACAGAGCAGATGTGGCATAATGGATGTCCAACATTAGATTAATTATAGTACAATAAGAGCCACTAAAATTTAATGTTTATTTTTGTATAAACGAATATTTTGTTTTTTATTTTTGCTCTCTTCTTGAAAATTGCATAACTGACCAAGAGTGACACTTGGGAGAAGTCTCCCTGGATGTAACATTTCCAGGAAAGGAAGCTGCACTTGTGAATTTTATTAATCCACTAGACAGTTAGTGTCTCAGTTTTTCTGAGTGTTCTTTCTTTGTGGAGTGGGATGTTTAGTGACGTGGACAGATGTTTGCCCACTAGAATCCAATTATTGAAGAAACCAAACGGATATTTAGAGTCCTTATTCTTAAGAGAATTATATTCAAGGGGGATTAGCATATTTTAAAAAATCATCTTAAAGAGAGATTTCTGTTCTTGCTCCCGATTTCTGTGTGCTTGGTATGTAGAATTTGAGGAGTCTTGTGTAGTGCACCCAAAAAAGAAGTAATAGTGTATGTATGTGTACCGAAATCTATAATTTGATGAAAGTTATTTGTACATTGACCTGAAAATTTACAAACAAATTTTTCAGTACTTTTCCGATCTCCACATTCTGGATTTTTTTAAACTGATGATTCATCATCACTTCTTTCTAATGTTTGAAAATAATTTGTGTTTACATTTCTAAATACCTCTTTTAAATTTTCCAATGACAAACTATGAGCACCCTGTAACTGGCTGGGCTTTAGTTGATACGTGAACTCTTCCACGTGCACTTTGTGTGTCTAGTTGGACAGCAATTAGAAGTCACCTTGAGCTTTATCCTGAAAGAAGGCTGACATGGATAATTTCATTAAGATATCTTTATGCCTGTTCATATGGGAAACACTACATATTTGGGGGGAACTACAATAGAAAAAAGACCTGCTATCCCTTCAAGCATTTATAAAGTCTTTTTTTCTCTGCCATGTTAGAAGAAGAATTTAAAGGGGCTATCAAAAGAATACAAAAAAATGTAGTAAGATATGCAGAACCGTGGAAACTGATTTCCAAATAATTTTGTTACCTCACACATGGTAGAAGGAGTTAAAGAAGGCTTGTGAAGCTGTGATATGTTTGTTACAGTCATTTCCCAGTTAAAAATTTAAATTACCTCTAGGATCTCATAATTGATGTTGTTGGACATGTTGGGATTCTGTGTCAGATTTATTTTAAGGAGTTCTTTTTCTAACGATATTTTAAAGCTACAATACCAGAGATTTTTAATGTGTAGAGGAAATTGCCTATTAGAAATGGGAAAAGCAACGAGTAGAAGTGAAAGGAGCTTTTAAAGTAAATTTTAAAAAGTAACAGGTTAAAGGTCATAGGAGGCAATATTTGTAGGTGCATTAAATTTTATATGCAGGTTTTATAATTGTTCATTTCACTTCTGTTTTTTATTCACTCTTAGGCTCCTGCTTACCATCTTATTTTAGAAGGAATTCTAATCCTCTGGATTATCAGACTTCTTTTCTCTAAAACTTACAAATTGCAAGAACGATCTGATCTTACAGTCAAGGTAAGAAATTAAATCTCTATTTTATTATCTGGTGTATGATGATAGTTGCTACATCTTTCCTGAAGGATCTGTGGTAAAATATTTTCTGTACTGTAAGAAAATCAAGGGGAATGAAATACGGGACAGGCAGACTATGGGAAAGCCAAGTACCTACCCAGAGGAGTAGCCTGGCACAGACTTCTTTACTTTACTAGGGACAAGCAGCAGTCTTACGAGTAGATGATGAAAGGGAAGCACGGGGAGCTACTCGATTTTGCCATTTCCAAATGCAGTTACATGAGTTGTCGGGAAGCCTGTGAAGTTTTCCCTGTGGTCTTCATAACGAAAACTGAGTTGGAAAGAATCCTCCTCACCCCCCACTCTCCACCTCCCCTCCCCAAATCGAATTTTGATGTGTTCTGTATGGTAAGGGACCCAAGCCAGGTGAACCTTAGAAAGCAGAAGTGCCTAGACTAGAGGAACTATGGCGCTGCCCACTGCAGAGCATTGGTATGAGGGACAGGGTAGGAGCACTTAGTGACTGCCTCAGTGCTTGGGAGGCAGGGCTTGTGAGAGATGTTTTCCCACAAAAGTCTCTGAAAGTTTGGTTCACAGGAAGCATTGAGTGCAGCGCAAAGCTGAAGCACTGGGCCTTTCTCTACTTCCTGGAGCCTCCCAGGAGGAAATGCAGTGGCGTGGAATTGCCACATCGATGTGCAGTTGCTGCCCTGGTTTTCCTGACCAGCTGCTGCTGTCCTGATCATTCATATTAAACTGTCCCCTAGGGAACATGCAGCATATGTTTTTAGGGCAGAACGTCTGGCAGCCTGGGTAAAGCAGAATAAAAAGATCTCATTGCGTGATTGTCACCCTTAATATGCATATTTGAACCTCTATTTGGAGGAATACCCTACACTTGACCACAGATTTCTCCCTTTCCCCCGCCCCTTTTAATGAATACTTTGTGGGATTATCATGCCACAGAACAAACACTTTTTCTGTAGCATTGCAGTAAGACTGGGCCTTGCAGGCCAGAAGTCCTTTCCATGCTTTTCCCTTTGGTATTTAGGAACTTCTTGTGGATGATTAAGTGGCCATGAAACAGATTTCTAGCCCACCTTTTTAAAGGGTTTGATTAATCCAGATATTCTTAGTTTTAGTTTAGACATATCAATCCACACATATATACTTTTTTTTAAAAAGAGCGATAGGTAAACATCTATAATAACAAAAGTGTAATATGCTAATTAGACCAGATGTCCTTCCGGGGTCGAGGGAAGCCCAGGTCCAGAGTGCCAGAGGGAAGCCTGTGCTGGCAGCCAGGGGAAGGAAGGCCCACTCTTGCACGAATTTCATGCATCGGGCCTCTAGTAGTTTTAGAAAAATCCTCTGAAAGCAGACTTAGCGAGAACAAAATTTAGTAATCACTGACATCTAACCCTTCCAGCAGCGGGAGGAAGAAACTGAGTGCTGTGAATGAGAAGTGTCCTTCTCAGTTGGATAGACCTACAGAGGCTCTGAATGGCAGGGCATCGTGGGTGGGTTCTTACATCTGCACGCTAGCAAGGGGACAGTGTGCATGGCATGTACACAGCTGCTGTTCTCTTCCATTAGGTCATTGGCAGAAACAGATGAGACATTTATTGGTTGATTTATTCAACAAGTATTTTTGAGCGCCTGAAAATCAGGTGTATGGATATGCTTTTGGTCTTGCTCTGGAGTTGCCTAATAGGAGAAAAATGCACAGAAGCATTTATTGGAAGTCTGAGACTAGAACTATTGGGAGAGGGTCTATTTGTGAGGCAAGAATTGCCGTGGCCACCGTGTTAATTTAGGGGCCTCATCTCATCCTGTACATCCAGACACATTTTCAAAATTACCTTTTTTCCTGATTCAAAAAAAGATAACACAAAATAATCAAAATACTTATAATGCATAAAGTAACAGATACAAGGAATAAAGTAGCTTTTTCTGAGAAATTCCAAACAAAATCCCATTACAATAATTGTAACAGAGTTTTTTCCTGTGTTTTAGCTACACCTGAATCCCTGCAGATGGCTTGGTGATCTGGTTGATCCCTTCCCATGATGGTCACCTCCATCAGCACTTCTGGTGTGGCTTTCTGTCTTGTCTTGGGATAGAGGCTGAGCTGACCTAGCAGAAATCATGCTTCTCACCTTTGTATTGTATACTTTCTTTTTATTTCACAATCAGTGTAAGTTGTACTTTGCACGATGAAAAATTCTGACTATAGAAGTAAAGTTTTCTTAAATTTTCCAGTCACCTACAAAACTACATGGAAAAAAGGATTTCGCCTATGATGTGAGGAGGTTAAGTGCCCAAAACTCAAAAATGATTCTATTTCATTTCTAACTACAACTAGACCTCTGGTTCTAGCAGTGTGTTCATTATGACGGTTCCATTACAACAAACAGTGTAGATACTGCTGGAGTCACTGTCCGGTAACTAGCATTGTGCTGTCTTAACACCTTTTCGCTTGTAGGAAAAAGAAGAATTGATTGAAGAGTGGCAACCAGAACCTCTTGTTCCTCCTATCTCAAAAGACCATCCTGCTCTCAACTACAACATTGTTTCAGGGTAAATCACTTTGCTACTGTTTCCTGTGGGTAAGCTCAGCAAAGTATACAGTAGTTAAATGCTATTCCTTTTTTACCTGAAATAAGACATTTAGGCCCTAACCAGTTTGGCTCAGTGGATAGAGCGTTGGCCTGCGGACTGAAAGGTCCCAGGTTTGATTCTGGTCAAGGGCATATACCTTGGTTGCGGGCACATCCCCAGTAGGAGGTGTGCAGGAGGCAGCTGATCGATGTTTCTCTCTCATCGATGTTTCTGACTCTCTATCCCTCTCCCTTCCTCTCTGTAAAAAAAATCAATAAAATATATTTTTAAAAAAACATTTAGGAATGAGTGCTAATCAGAAACTACCTGCTTTAGTTCCCAATATAAAACTTTCTTTTAGGAATGGTATGGGCATTTTTTGTAGTCTCCAATTTGGGCATTACAGTTTGTCCCTTTTTCTAAAAAAAAAAAAAAAATTATTTTTCAAAGTAATAACACGCACATGATAATATGTCAGATGGTCAGACACACTTAAAATGAAAAGCAGCACTCCTTCCCACCTGGTTTCTGATTTTACGTCTGTTGTAGGTTTCCTTCATAATAAGCTATTAACAGTTTGCTGACACTACTACTGCTTGATTAACAGTGGAAAACACCTATGGACTCGCAATATGAATTATGAAACTTCAGCTCACTTATCCTACCTCTCCTTGCTTCCAGTGTCTGATCTGTTTTTATTATTAGTTCTTCTGTTGGGTATCTTTGCTTTTTGTATGTGCTTTTAAGTATTTTAAAAATACAGACACATATGTATTAATCATCCAGAATTAATAGGAATTTTGCTATCTTTACTTGAAATCTATTTTTAAAAAGAAAGAAACCATTACAAATATAGCTAAAGAAACTCCCATATATCACTTACTCTTGCCTCCCACACAATATCACCACTATCTTGAAGTTGGTGGATATTTTACTCTTTTACATTAGAATGATTGTTTTATGTGTTTTTATTGCACATTTAGGCACTTTCTCAATGTCTGGTGGTCCTTAGCATCTTTTTATCTCCAATATGCAGAATGTTTCATTATAATTAATAGCATAATATAAATAGCCTGCAAAAACCATGCACAAAAAAAACATTTTGTTATTGATAAGTTTAGAGTTTTCAACTTATGCAGTTCCTCTTTATATTCAATACTGAGTTGACACAAGAGTAAGTGAATTTACTTAACTTGGATAATTTTTTTAAATTTAAATAACAGCCTTATTGCAATATCCATATACCATTAAATTCACCCTTTTAAGGTACACCATTAAATGGGTTTTAGTATATTCACAGAGTTGTGCAACTATTGCCACCATCCAATTTCAGAATTTTCATCACCCCAAGAAAGAAATTCCACACCCAATAGCATTTATTCCCCATTCCCTCTACTCTTCAGCCCCTGGCAACTATTTATTTACTTTCTCTATGGATTTGCCTATTCTGGGCATTTCATATAAAAGGAACCATTCAGTATGTGGCCTTTTGTATCTGCCTTCTTTCCTGGAGCCTAATATTTTCAAGGCTTATTATGCATGTTGTAGCATGTGCCAGTGTTTTATTCATTTTTATGGATAAAGAACATCCCACTCTGTGGATAGATCACATGGTGTTTACACATTCTTCAGTTGATGGACATTTGGGTTGTTTCCACTTGGGAGTACATGAAAAAAGAAAATACATATAAATATGTATGTATATGTTCAAATACTTGTGAACACATTTTTGTGTGGACATGTTTTCATTTGTCTTGGGTATATACCTAAGAGTGGAATTGTTAATCATATAGCAACTCATTTTGAGAAACCACCAAACTGTTTTCCAAACTGGCTGAATCATTTACATCCCACCAGTAGTATATGAGAACTCCACTTTCTCCACATCCTAGCCAACCCTTATTTTCTGTCTTTTTTAATTATAGCCTTCCTAGTAGGTGGGAAGTAGTATAGCAAATGGCTAATGTTATTGAGTGTCTTTTCATGTGGTTATTGGCCATTTTCATATATCTTCTTTGGAGAATAGTCTGCTCAGTTATTTATCTTTTTATCATTGAGTTGTAAGAGTTCTTTATATATTTTGGATACTAGGCCCTTATCAGATATATGATTTGTAAATATTTTCTCCCATTCTCTAGGTTTTTGTATCTTTTCTAGTGTACTTTGAAGCACAAATGTTTTTAATTTTTTAAGATATATTTTTATTGATTTCAGAGAGGAAGGAAGAGGGAGAGAGAGAGAGAGAGAGAGAAACATCAGTGATAAAAGAGAATCATTGATTGGCTGCCTCCTACATGCCTCCTACTGGGAATCAAGCCCGCAACCCAGGCATGTGCCCTGACCAGGAATCGAACCATGACCTCCTGGTTCATAGGTCAACGCTCAACCACTGGGCCTCACCGGCCTGACAAATGTTTTTTATTTTAATGAAGTCCAGTTTATCTCTTTTTACTCTTGCTGCTTGTGCTTTTGTGTTATATCTAAAAATCTTTGCCTAGTCCAACATTATGAAGATTTACTCCTTTGCGTTTTTTAAGAGTTTATAGTTTTTGCACTTAAATTAGGTCAGTGATTTATTTTGAGTTAATTTTTATAATGCTGTGAGGTAGGGATTCATCTCCATTCTTTTACATGTGTATACCCAGTTATCCCAGCACCATTTGTTGAAAAGACTATTCTTTCCCTATTGAATTGTCTTGGCACTCTGATGAAAATCTATTTTTAAGACTGAGACACTGAAATGCTAATTCGAAGCCCTGTGTCAGTGGGCTGGGCTTCCTGACTGATAGTGGGCATCAATTTAGGATAATCAGACAAGGACCTGTCCATTTATTTGAGGGGATCCCAGATTCAGTATTTTCTGCTTTTCATGTCTTCACTTTGAATTTCATGCAGAGGAGTACTCCTGTGTGTTGGGATGGGAGTGGGGCGGTCTTGGGGGTGCACTTAATAAGCCTGCCTTCCAGCCCTCTGGGAGCTGAGTTGGAGGACGGAGAGGGCTCAGTGTCCCATTTTTATTATGGTAAATTTATACTGATTTCTGTTTTCAGAGTGGCACTGTCCCCTCACTGGTCCTTAGGAATTTTAGTTTATATTCAGCATTTCCAGAGTAAATCTCCCGCCTTCCTGCAGGACCGGAAAGGGACCTAAGGAAATGACTCCTTATCATGGGTTCCAGGCTGGGCTCCTGAGTCCCCCGCCTGTTCCCCCCTCTCCCAGGGAGCTCTGCCCCCGCCGGGGAGCATTTTCATGTCTGCTGCAGGCTTTTCCCTGCCAGTGCACTGATGCTCAGCTTTCGCACCCTCAGCTTTCTCTCTGGTCTCTCTGTTTTACCAAATACAACTTACCACCTGCTCTCTAGTTTCCCACATTTTGTTACTGTCATCGCCTATGCCTGCTCTTGCTAAGATCAAATATTTTAGACTTTTGTAGGCATTTTTGTGAGTGGATAGGTTTTTCTATTAGGAAGTAATCGTTACGTTCCTAGGATAAACCCTATTTAAGGATGACTGTGGTTTTTGTAAACTGCAGGATTTGTTTTGCTAATATTTGGGATTTTTCACGTCTATGTTGACAAATGAGTTTAGTTTCTTCTTTTCCCTTTCTGTGCTGGTCCAGTTTTGGTATCAAAGATATATTAATATTAGTCTTACCATTTTCCTAGCAACAATGTGTTTCATATGGTGTTCTGTTGAGCACAGATTTTTAATCATGATTTCATTGTCTTCAATGAGTTTGTAAAGCTATTCAGGTTTCCTTAAGTTTTGCTTACCATCATTTAGTCATTGTCCATTTCTTGTGTTTTCAAATGTTTTGGCATGAGTAGTTTTAGGTTTCTTCTGGGCATATATATAAAAAATGTATTCATAACACTTTATTATACATACACTAGAGGCCCAGTGCATGACATTCATGCACTGGGCAGGGGGGTTGCCTCAGCCCAGCCTGTGCCCTCTTGCAGTCCCGGACGCCTTGGGGGATGTCCACCCGCTGGCAGTTGGACATCTCCCAAGAGATCTTTAGCGCTGCTGTGGAGGCGGGAGAGGCTCCCGCCACTGCCGCTGCGCTGGCCAGCCATGAGCTTGGCTTCTGGCTGAGCGACACTCCCCCTGTTGGAGCGCACTGACTACCAGGGGGCAGCTTCTACGCTGAGCGTCTGCCCCCTGGTGGTCAGTGCACATCATAGCGACTGGTCGTTCCGCTGTTCGATCGATTTGCATATTAGGGTTTTATTATGTAGGATAGGGAATGACACATCTGTGGGGCTCACGTCTCCACTGCGAGCATCATTGTGTCTCCTTCCTCACTCATTCTCCAGAGGTTTACTTCTGGTTCTTTTTCTCCGTGGCACGCCTTTCGTGGAGACATAGGTGTGACCCCTTGGCTCAGTTCCACTCTTGTCAGCACCCACCTGAGGCAGTGCTCTTGTTTGCTTCGTTCTCAGTGTCCTTTGTCCCTGGTGTCTGCCTCCACTCTCCCCTTCACTAAGGCACCCACTGTAATACTTTATCATGTTTTCTATCAGCATTTTGTGTGTGACACATTTCTATGTTATTAAAATGATACATTTTGTATTTATGTTGTTGGTTTAAAACATATTCTTAATGTTTTGTGAATGTATGTTTTTAATTTTGTGTTCTAGACTATTCTGATGTTTTGTTTCTTGTTAATCCTCACCCAAGGATATTTTTCCACTGACTTTTAGAGAGAGTGGAAGGGAGGGGGAGAGGTGGAGAGAAACATCGATGTGAGAGAGACACATCGATTGGTTGCCTTGTGCACGCACCCCGACTAGGGCCGGGGAACCTGCGACTAAGGTACATGCCCTTGACTAGAATCAAACCCGGGACCCTTCAGTCTGAGGGCTGATGCTCTATCCACTGAGCCAAACTGGCTAGAGCTGTATTCTGACTTTTTGCAAGATTTCTGCTCAACATTTATTTTTTCAACAAATACCTACTATGTTTCAGGAATGTGCTCAGCACATTGGTTTATAGAGCAATAAGTCAAAATCTTAGTTTTCTTGGGACAGACAGACCACCAATGAAATAAATACAGCGTTTGCTGGCATTGAGTGGTCTGAGGAAATAGGAAGCAAGGCATACAGAGGTGGGGTGCCGGGGTCCTGCTTGTCATTTCCTCTGACTGCTGTATCTTCTGTTGTGTATGGTAACTGAGTTCTAAATACCATCTTGGGGAGAAAGATGCCATAGAAAACCCTGTGTTAATGTCCCCTTGCAAACCTGTTTGGTCCCTCCATCGTGACCTGCCCATGGACGCTCCCCTGCGTTAGTCTGTGGGGCTTCAGTTTCCTCACAGTCTGGGTTGGTTGCATTGGTTTATTTTGCATTTCTCTGATTATTTGAGCCTTTGAGTATTTACCAGCTGCTGGGTTTTGCCTTTTATGAATGCCTCCTGATATCTTTTTACATCTTTCTGCTGATCTCCAGTGTGTCCTTTGATTAATAGAGCCATGTGGATTCTAATCCTTAGTCAGTTGTGGTTTTTTTTAATATGTTTTTATTGTTGAGAGAGAGAGGAAGGGAGAGGGAGAGAGAGAGAAACATCACCGATCGGCTGCCTCCTGCATACCCTCCACTGGGATGGAACCCGCAACCCAGGCGTGTATCCTGACCGGGAATTGAACTGGTGACCTCTTGGTTCATGGGTTGACGCTCAATCACTGAGCCACACCAACCAGGCTTTGGTCAGTTTTTGATGTGGTACTTTATTACACTGATTCTAAAATGCACCTTTTTTTCCCCCCCTTCTATTTTAAGATCTCTGAATTGGGGGTGAATCATACAGCTGCTGCAAGTCATTGTCAGCCAAGGGGCCTGGGGCGGGGGGCTGTCACTGCCTGTGTACCAGTGAACTAGGTCATGACTGTGTTTACTGCTAGCACTTCAGTTGAGTTATGGGCAGCGCTGGTAAGTAAATCAGCTGATGGCAGGAGAAAGGGCCAAACCACTCCAAGTAGACTAACAGAGGCTACTGCAACTAAGGTTTGAGCGTCTCTTTGTCAGACTTCTGCTGCCTTTGGGTAATAACAGCTTACTTTCTAGAAACATGGTTCAATTGGCAAAAGATGAAACTAGGAGTTTAGTTCATAGGAAAGTTCCAGCATTAAAACGTAAAGAATGAGTGACACCAACTTGTCAGATGGTAGGAGAGCACCTGCGAAGCCACTGCCTGGGTATTCGGTGGCAGACAGCAGAATAATGTGAATGGCCACAGTGTTCGTGGCTTAGCAGAGGAGAGCAGACAGTCGGAACTTGGGCAAAGAGGTTAGGAATGTCCTGACCAATTTGAATTCCTAGTATTTTCCTTTTCAGAAGTTCAAAAGAGTGTAACCAAAGTCTGTGTCTAAGAGTACCCAACAGATCTTTTCATTAAATATAGTCTAAAAAATTCTAGATGACAAGGACACATCTTGACCTTCTAATCCAGGGGTCCTCAAACTACGGCCCGCGGGGCCACATGCAAATACAAATATTGTATTTGTTCCCGTTTTGTTTTTTTACTTCAAAGTAAGATATGTGCAGTGTGCATAGGAATTTGTTCATAGTTTTTTTTTAAACTATAGCCCGGCCCTCCAACGGTCTGAGGGACCGTGAACTGGCCCCCTGTTTAAAAAGTTTGAGGACCCCTGTAATCTAATCAGCAGTGTTTTCTTCTGTAGTGGCCGACAAAATACAGTTGATGCCCTCTTAGATTCAGTGAAATACAATCAATCTCTTTATTACACACCTGTTAACTTCATCTTTGGTGTTAATTTTGACTTGATCAGTTTCATCCATTTCGGCTTCATGGTTTGCATATTTTGAGACTTGCTTCAGAGATCATTTCCTACTCCAAGGTCACAAAAACATTCTTCTACGTTTTCTTTCATTATCTTTTCCAAAATACCTTTTTGGTTTGTGACATGTCTGGAATTCACCTTTGTACATGATTATACAACTTTATTTTTTCCCATAGAGAAATATCTGTGTGTAACTAAGTCATTTGTGGGGCAAATGCTATTGTTTGCCAGGTACTCATGTATACACAGCTCTTTTGAGTTCCAGATTCACTCACTGGTCTAGTTGTCTATTCTCACCAGCGCCAAACCTGATGTTGCTGGAGTCTGTAATGGTTGTTTTTCTCGGGTAGAGCACCCTTCTCCGTTTCCAAGTTCACTAAGCCACCTATGAACCTTCGTTCATCCAGGTGACCTAACAGTGAGGCTGGGGTTTTTGGTTGGGAAGGTTTTATTTTCCTTCCTCCCATTCTCTGAGGCCTTAACTGTGGAGCTGTCTTTCTGGATTGATTTTACTGACTTCTGAAAGGCAACCCTGAAGGGCCTTGCTCTCCAGGATTCCTGTGTGGGGTCCCTGCATGGGGCACAGGTGTGAGCCTCTTGGTGCTCACCGGAAGCTGTTTTCCAAATTTTTATCTGCTTTTGTGAATTTACTTGAAGTTGTCTTTCATTTCCTCCCTGGTTTCCCAGCATCTTTGTTATCTTTTCTCATAGAAAACCAGTTCTGTTGATACATACCAATGAGAGCAGTGTCTTGGTCTTTTCTGGCCGTAGTGCATTTTCTAGAGCAACCCAGCATGTAGACCAGTGCAGATGTGTAACTGAAACAAGTTTCAGGCACAGTCACTTCCCTTGCTGTGACAGTCCCATTCCATTCTATTCTATGGTTTCCTTTAGTTAAAATAGATTGATTGTGACTGACTCAATTTGGTCTTACAACCGGTTAATTGCTTGTGACCTGTAGCTTGGCCCTGTGTTTCTGAAGCATGGCCTACAGCTAGTGTTTGTCAGCAAAGGACTTGTCCTGTCCCAGCCACACTTAGATGCATACTCCTGTGGAGCTGGCCACTCTGTTTTTAATACAGTGGTCGCCAACCTTTTGGGCCTCATGGACCACCGGTTGGTGACCGCTGCTTTTATACACACACACACACATACACACACACATCCCAGCTGGTGTGGTTCAATGGTTGAGTCTGAGGTACTTTATTTAGCTATTCTTTTTTTTTTAATCCTCACCTGAGGATATTTTTTCCATTGATTTTGAAAGAGAGTGGAAGGGAGGGAGGAGGTGGGGGGAGAGAGAGAGAGAGAGAGAGAAATAGCGTTGTGAAAGAGATACATCCATTGGTTGCCTCCCACACGCACCTCTACTGGCGCTGGGGAACCTGCAACCAAGGTACATTCCCTTGACTGGAATTGAACCCTTGACCCTTCGGTCCATAGGCCGACACTCTAACCACTGAGCAACTGGCCACGGCTAGCTATTCTTTCTTAAATGAATTGTAAAATCAAAACAGAGATTTGCCATCTATCCATTTTGAAATTCTAGCTTCTTAACTGAAGTGTACAGGGTAGCCTATTAAGAATTACTGGCCAAGTATCTGATTTTAATAAACCATTGTCTAATTTTACTTTTTAAAAATAAACAGTACAAGAGCTGGAAGACCGGTGCACAAGTAGTGTAGAGTAACAACACTGTGTCCTGTCTGCTGCCAGGGTAGTGTGGGAGCATGTGTGCTGTAACGTGTTGGCTGAGTAAACCATTCTCATCTCTCTTCCCCAGCCCTCCAAGCCACAGCATCGTGGTGAATGGAAAAGAATGTATAAACTTTGCCTCCTTTAATTTTCTTGGATTGTTGGATAACCCTAGAGTCAAGGTAAGTAGCACCCATATTGAAGTGAAAAGATAGCATGACTGACTTAAGAAACTGGACATAAAATCAAAGATCAATACAGAGCATCAGAAAGGGCTCTCTAAGTGTCTACCATTTCTCTTTTCTGGAAGAGCTGTGACCTGGATTTCCAGAGAGGGAGGCAGGAGAGTTTGTTGTGGCTTAGTGTTGTCCGAGCCAGCCCTGGTGATGGTTGGAGATGTGTTTAGAAAATTGCTCCAGTTCCTGTTGGGATTGTCAGCCAGTAAATATTTTTGCTGTCCACACATGCCAAAAAGTATAAACGCATCAAATTAACCGGGATTTGATATTTGAGTTAATAGAACATGTCTGTTTTTTTTTACTAGTGGCCTGGTGCATGAAATTCGTGCACGGGGGAGGGGGTGTTCCTCAGCCCGGCCTGCACCCTCTCCAATCTGGGACCCCTCGAAGGATGTCCTACTGCTGGTTTAGAGGGATTGGTGCTAAACCGGCAGTCAGACATCCCTCTTGCAATCCGGGACTGCTGGCTCCTAACCGCTCACCAGCCTGCCTGCCTGCCTGATTGACCCTAACCACTCTGCCTGCCGGCCTGCTCACCCCCAACTGCCCCCCGCCGCCGGCCTGCTTGCCCCCAAATGCCCCCCCGCTCCAGCCTGATCACCCCCAACTGCTCCCCCCTGCTGACCTGCTTGCCCCCACCTTCCTACCCCACTGGTCTACTTGCCCCCAACTTCCCCCCTGCTGGCCTGCTCACTCCAAACTGACCTCCCCCGCCCCCGCTGTCCTGATCACCTGCAACTGAACCCCACTGATGGCCTGCTTGCCCCCAACTGGCCCCCCTGCTGGTCTGCTTACCCCCAACGGCCCTGCCCCCCACCAACCTGATCACCCACAACTGCCCTCACCTCTTGGCCTCTAACCGCCTCTACCTCGGCCCCGCCACCATGGCTTTGTCCAGAAGAACGTCCGGAAGGTCTCCTGTAAGGTCTCCCAGTCTAATTAGCATATTACCCTTTTATTAGTAGGCTTGGTGCACGGATGGGGGCCGGCTGGTTTGCCCTGAAGGGTGTCCCAGATCAGTGTGGGGGTCCCCTTGGGGCGTGGGGAGGCCTGGACAAGGGGCCTGTGGTGGTTTGCAGGCTGGCCACGCCCCCATGGGGTGAGGGTCCCTGCTGGCGGGGCGTGGCCAGCCTGGGTGAGGGGCTGAGGGCTGTTTTCAAGCTGGCCACACCCCCTTCAGGGTGGGGGGTCCCTGCTGGGGTGCCTGGCCAGCCTGGGTGAGGGGCTGATGGCTGTTTGCAGGCTGGCCACGGCCCCTGGCAACCTAGGCTCCCAGATCCTCCTTGAGCGGAGGACACAGCGGTTGGAAGCAGGTATCTGGGATTTATTTATCTTCTATAATTGAAACTTTGTAGCCTTGAGCAGAGCCCATACCAGCCAGGGCAGTCGGAAAGCTTGGTTTCCTTCATTGCCAGGGGCAACCCAAGCCTCCTGTTTGCTCCAGCTCCTTGGCCACCGCCATCTTGGTTGGGTTTATTTGCATACTCGCTCCTGATTGGCTGGTGGGCATGGCTTGTGGGTGTAGCAGAGGTATAGTCAATTTGCATGTTTCTCTTTTATTAGATAAGATTGATTTCTGAGAGGGAGAGAGAGAGAGAAACATCCATGATGAAAGAGAATCATTGATCAGCTGCCTCCTGCACAACCCCTACTGGGGTTCGAGCCTGCAACCTAGCATGTGCCCTTGACTGGAATCGAACCCGTGACCCTTCAGTCCATCGGCTGACGCTCTATCCACTGAGCCAAACCAGCTATGGCTATCCTTAAATCTTTATGTCTGCTTTTCTTTGTATCCTATTGTTAGGATGTCATAGTTCAAGAAAGGAAGGAAAAGGGGGAGGAAGGGAGGAGTTACGGGTTAAAGACTAGGAAATGCCAGTTTTGAACTGTTTCTTTCCTCCCACAAAGGCAGCAGCTTTGGCATCTCTAAAGAAGTATGGTGTGGGGACTTGCGGACCTAGAGGATTTTACGGCACATTTGGTATGTTTCAGTATTTTTCAGACTACATTCTGATGGAATAAGGTTCCATTTTATTTCAGAACTCCTTGGAAAAGGCATCCTTAGTTAGTTGTGGTGTTAAGCCTGTGCGTGCTATTTCTTACCTTATTTTTTAGAACATTGTTGTTTGGAACCATTGGTTAGAGTTGAATGTCACTTGTGGAGAAGAGCCATAGTTACCTTAGGTGTGTAGTTCTTAGGTCAAAGCCTGAGCTGCTGTTTCATGTGCCCCCCCCTCCCCCCCAAGGCAGTGGTGTTAGGAAACAGTTCATTTCTGTGGTGCATGACAATTGTAAGAGGAAGGGTCCTGTGTGGGTGGCTCTGCTCTTCATAATTGTGCAGGAATCGGGATCTTCCCTATCTCTGCTCCAGTGTGGAGGGCACCATCCTTGTCTGCATGGCTGCAGCCAGGTGGCAAGTTTGGGGAGCAGGAGTGCAGAGCAGCAATACACTTTTAGGCAGGCAAGTGACCCCGCACATCACTCTGCCACATTGCATTGGTGAGACCATAACCCGGGTCATGCCTTCCTGCAAAGGGGGCAGGGAAATAAGCTCTAGCTGGAGAACCACCACGTGCCAGGGAGAAAGGCAAGAACAGATTGTGAGGCGATAGGCTATGTAGCTCCTTTCTTTCTGGAATGAAGATGAAGATCATTGATTTCCCTGTGTGTGGGTGACCCTGGGACAGGCTAAGTAAATGTTAGGATGAGTGTGTGATTTCAAACACTATGAACTTCCCTAACAGATTTGTTAAAGACACCCTGGCATTTTCAGGTTGTGTTTATTACATGTATATTGTTCTTCTGAAAGCTTTGAAAATGCTAAATAATTGTTCAAATGAGTATATTCCTGGAAATAACATTCTGGCTTACAAAATGTCAGAGTGTGGGGAAAATAAAGCCAGGGAAGGCTCCTCCATCTTCTGTCCTCATTTCCATTTTTCTGTGTGTGGGTGTGTTTCTTTAACAGTTATGATACTTTTATTTAAGAGAGCACTTTTCTTTATTCCTTAGCAAGTTTAGCAGTTAAATTATTTATATTGGAAACAGGTGACAGGAGTTAGTGTCCAAGAATCCTACAGCTGGAAAGGTTTTAAAAGTCATATACTCCAGGATTCCAACTATTCATAAGACAAATAGAAAGCCCAGAGAGGTTAAGTGACTTCCTCACAGTCACACAGGTCATTAACTTCTGCCCTAAAACTGGAAACCAAGTATGCTGACTCCTAGTCTTTTTTCCCCCTAATTTAATAATTCTTTCTTAAATAATTTTTTTAATTTTTCAATTATTGACATACAGTTAATTATATTAGTTTCAGGTGTACAACATAGATTTGTATAACTTACAAAGTGATCACCCCCATAAGTTTAGTACTTATCTGATTCCATGCATATCTATATATATAATAGGCCAGTGATGGCGAACCTATGACATGCGTGTCAGAGGTGACACGCGAACTCATTTTTTTGGTTGATTTTTTTGTGTTAAATGGCATTTAAATATATAAAATAAATATCAAAAATATAAGTCTTTGTTTTACTATGGTTGCAAATATAAAAAAATTTCTATATGTGACACGGCACCAGAGTTAAGTTAGGGTTTTTCAAAATACTGACACGCCGAGCTCAAAAGGTTCGCCATCACTGTAATAGGCTAATATGCCATCTGACCGGTTGCTATGACATACACTGATCGCCAGGGGGCAGACGCTCAATGTAGGAGCTGCCGTAAGGTGCTCGGCCATTTACAAAGAAATGGCACTGCGGACCTGGAGCCCACAAAACAACACTTGGCTTTCCCCCAACTGGGACACAGGCCCCGCCACCAACCTGGAGCGACAGCCCACCAAATCGCAGCTGATGCTGCCGAGACCCCATGGTGCAAAATGCGGCCCACAGCCCAGTCCAGCCCGGAAACGGTGGCTGTGGGTGCCGGGTAATGACGTCACATAGCAACGGCCGGCTTCCTCCTCCCAGCAACAGGCCATCTACACTAATAAAAGAGAAACATGGTAATTGGCTTACGACCGCTACCCTTTTCATTGGCTAATCAGTGAGTATATGCAAATTAACTGTCAGCCAAGGTGGCGGCCAGCAAGGCCGGGATCAGCGGAGCCGAGAGGCCTCCTGGCCCCGGGATCAGCGGAGCCGAGAGGCCTCCTGGCCCCGGAATCAGCGGAGCCGAGAGGCCTCCCGCCCCGGGATCAGCGGAGCCGAGAGGCCTCCCGCCCCCGGGATCAGCGGAGCCGAGAGGCCTCCCGCCCCGGGATCAGCGGAGCCGAGAGGCCTCCCGGCCCCGAAATCAACGGAGCCGAGAGGCCTCCTGGCCCCGGGATCAGCGGAGCCGAGAGGCCTCCCGCCCCCGGGATCAGCGGAGCCGAGAGGCCTCCCGCTCCGGGATCAGCGGAGCCGAGAGGCCTCCCGCCCCGGGATCAGCGGAGCCGAGAGGCCTCCCGCCCCGGGATCAGCGGAGCCGAGAGGCCTCCTGGACCCGGAATCAACGGAGCCGAGAAGCCTCCCGGCCGCCTGGATCAGCGGAGCCGAGAGGCCTCCCGGCCCGGGATCAGCAGAGCCTGATGGAAGCCCCCCCGGGATCAGCAGAGCCTGATGGAAGCCCTGTGTGTTTATGCACCCTGGGGGTGCAGAGGTCCTATCCTAGGCAGAGGCCTATGGCGAAAATTTCGACTCTGAGAAGCAGCCTACGGGCTGGAAGGCAGCTCCTCTGACCTCAGTTCTGGAGAAGACCATTAAGCAGAAAACTAAAGAAACCGATTTTACATCATTTCCCAGGTGGCGAACAGTTGGCATGTAAGCCCCTGACCAGTGCCCAGCCTCTCCTCTGTCAGTCTATCTCACTCTTAGGTACCATGTTCTTTGTTCTGTCTTAACTGCAACTCATTTTTAAACTAGATTGCTTTTAAAAGAAGACTAAATAAAGTTTCCCTTAAGTTATTTAGGTGGTGCTGGGGCTGCTGGGGCTGCTGGGGGCCTGATAGAAAGACACAAACATGCAATGGGGGGCCTATACCCAGCAGCCCCAAGGCCCGCCACCTTGGTGCTGGGTCTGCTGTGGGTATCAGAGACACAAACCCGCAGGCCCAGCACCCAGCAGACCCAAGGCCTTCGTGGCAGAACTAAGGAGCAGCAAGCCAAGCGGTAGGAAGTAGCAAGCAGGTGGGCAGTAACAAGGGAGGGGTCCCGGACTGCAAGAGGGCACATGCTGGGCTAAGGGACCCCCCACCCATCCCCAGTGCACGAATTTCGTGCACCGGGCCTCTAGTCTGTATATATAAAAGGCTAATATGCTTAGTGTCCATCCAACCGGTAGCTATGATGTGCACTGACCACCAGGGGACAGACACTCAACGCAGGAGCTGCTGAGCTGCAGTGACTTGGCAGCGGCAGTTCTCGGGTTATGCACCCCGAAACCAGAGAAGAGGGAGCCCGATTCCTTGTGGGGCCGCGCGATTCCACCTTTGGCTGTGGGTTATGTTGTTGCTGGGGCACTGTCGGCCCTGAATCTGGTTTACTGCACTCTTGCATTTGCGTTTCACACACTGTACGACAGCAACTTTGCAGAGTGCCCCCTCCCACTCCGGGACCCCTCGGGGGATGTCGGAGAGCGGATTTCGGCCCGATCCCCGTAGGCCAGGCTGAGGGACCCCACCTGCCGGAGGGACCTGCTCACTCCACAGATGCCCTTCAAGCCATGGCGCCACCCCAGGTGTGGCCGGCTTGGGGGTACCGCAGGACGTTGGCTCCAGGGCGTGTCCAGTCCACTCGCCCAGTCCTGCTCTGCCAACCACCTTCTAATTTATTTCTTTTCAGTGTGCACAGATCCGTGCACCGGGGCACTTTTTTAGTATAATGTTATGACTATATTCCTTATGCTATATTTTATATCCTTTTGACTAATTTTATAACTGCCAATTTGTACTTCTTAATCCTTTCACCATTTTTACCCATCTCCTCAACCCCCCTGCCTTCTGGCAAGCATCAGTTTATTCTCTGTATCTATGAGTTTGTTTCTGTTTTGTTTGCTCTTTTATTTTGAAAACTAGAGGCCCAGTGCATGAATTCGTGCATGGATGGGATCCATTGGCCTGGCCGGCGATCGGTGCCAATTGGGGCCATCTTGCCCAGTCCCGATGGGGCCGATCTGGGCCAGATGGCTGAGGGGAGGGACCACGAGAGGTTGGCCTGCCGCAGGAGGTTGGCTGTGGGAGCGCACTGACCACGAGGGGGCAACTCCTTCATTGAGCGTCTTCCACCTGGTGGTCAGTGTGCGTCATAATGACTGGTCATTTGGTCGACCAGTTGGAACGGTTGCTTAGGCTTTTATATATATATATACTAGAGGCACGGTGAACAAAAATTTTTGCACTCGGGGGGGTCCTTCAGCCCGGCCTGTGCCCTCTCGCAGCCCGGGAGCCCTCGGGGGATGTCCACTTGCCAGCGGGGAGCAGGCCTAAGCTGCAGTCGGACATCCTTAGTGCTGCTGAGGAGGCGGGAGAGGCTCCCACCACCACCGCTGTACTGGCAGCCATCAGCCTGGTTTGTGGCTGAGCAGAGCTCCCCCTGTGGGAGCACACTGACCACCAGGGGGCAGCTCCTGCATTGAGCATATGCCCCCTAGTGGTCAGTGTGTGTCGTAGTGACCAGTCATTCCCAGTCGTTCTGCTGGGATTACTGACTTGGCTACCTCCATCGCCCGGGCAACCAAGCCTCCTGCTTGCTCCAGCTCCGTGGCTGCCCACCGCCATCTTGGTTGGGTTAATTTGCATATAGCCGCTTTGATTGGCTGGTGGGCGTGGCTTAGAGTGTAGTGAGTCAGTTAGGGTCAATTTGCATATTACCCTTTTATTATATAGGAGTGCCTGGGTGAGGGGCTGATGGCTGTTTGCAGCTGGTCACACCCCCTTCAGGGTGGGGGTCCCCACTGGGGTTCCTGGCCAGCCTGGGTGAGGGGCTGATGGCTGTTTG